AACCGACAATCAGTGGTTGAGGGAAGGAGGGCTGGACCACTAGAAGGACACATGAACATCTGGGGAACTCCAGAGGTCCAGAGTAAGACCTCAGGAAGACTTGAGTTGGCCACTGGGTCCAAGGCTTTGCATTCATGTGCCAAGGCAACCTCATGCAAGGGACCGTTTTCCTAGTATGACTACATGGCAGCAATGATGCAAATGATTTTCCTTGCACTACGAATCACCATGCACGCTGCCTGCACCCAGCCCTTGCAACACCCTGGTTCTCCGTCTTGATAACCCATCCTATGGAGGACAACCAGAACATCATCTTCCTGCCTCCAGTGCAAATTGACATGATGTCTCCATGATGGAGACATTCAATTCTCTCCACACTCAGGGGAGAGTGAAAGGAGAGAAACTGTGCAATCAAAATCCTCCACTTGACTGGACATCACCCCAGAATATATATAATCTGTGCAGCAATGCAAGAAACAGGAGCATCATGCATTCACTAGACAAAAACCTGCCAAGTTGTATGAGCTTGGGAAGCATGTTAGACTAGGCAAGAGCAGCTTATCAGGAGTGTATAGCAGGAATATCAGCATTTTCCATTTGTGCTTGAAAAATGGGTCCTTGATGTAAGCAAGCATCCAGTAACTGACTAATAATTCCTATTTGGAAAATGTTCTTTTAAATCCTTGACAAAACATGCAGGTTTTGGACACTTTCTCTGGAGAAATATGGCAATAATGCAAGAAGTTTTCACAAAACGCTCCAGCCCCGCCCTTTATCTCTCCATCTCATCTTCCTGATTGAGCCTTTCCCCAACCCCATGGCCCCCAAATAATGTTAGACTGTAAATCCCGGCATCAGCTGGCTGAGAGCTATAGACCAGCGCACCCAGAGAGCATCTGTTGGGCAAGCTGGCCCAGCCTTTGTTGGCCTCTATCCCTTGATCTGCCAGTTGCTGTAGAGAATGCCAGAGTGCTGCCTGGGCACACACGATCCAGAGGATGGCTGGCAGGCAAAACTGAAGTGAAACGCTCAGGCCAAGAAGTAACCAGCAACACTTTTTCAAGCAGTCTTTTCCTTCTGGCCATCCTTTTTCTTTATTGCCACAGCATTCCGCATGTGGAATGGACCCTTTGAGACCCAACTGCCTGGACATCTTCATGCCTGCCTCAGAGGCCACTGCACAGCCAGCACAAGAGACTTGACAATGTAACAAAAGCTGCATGCGCATCCCAGTGGAGAAGCTTCCTTGTTTTTGCCATCTTCGCATCGGGTCCATCACTTGTTCCCTGGACTTTTCAAAATGAGGAATGGAAGCACTGGTGCAGGAATGGAGTTGGTTTTAAAAGTGATAACCTGCAGCATGACGTGCCCAGGTGCCAACGCCACTTCTGAGAGCGTGCTGGGGATGGTAGTGTTGCAGAGTGAGGGTAAGGAAGGAACAAGAAAGGATTAAAAAAAAAGTTCACAGATTTGAACTGACTTCAGTATGACCGTAAATAGAATGACATTTGTGGGGGAAGAAATTGATCCCTCTTCTTACCCAAAGTGGCCCCTGCGGAGTGAAAATGCAGATGTCCAAATAGCTTTGGGGTGACTTCCTCTAGTATCGAGAGTTGTTTTCTTTCTGTTAAAAGGGTTATGAAATGCCTTACTTCTGAACTTAATATTTGTGTGCATGTTTCTAGCGCTTCATCACCCAGCCCCTCCCTTTGCTCTGCATGCTTTAAGTTGCTTAGGGTGCAATTCAATCACCTGCAGGGCAGATGCACGGAAACTTCCTACAGGCTTGCATGCACCCTATGCCCAGAATATGTGCAGCTGTGGCAGTCTCCGTTGCCATTATGTCACGTGTGGGCTCTTTTCTCTGGGTGGTCTTTTTTTAGCCATCCAGATTTAGGGCTGGCAAGGGTGGGGGGGGGCTGGGGGTGCCAAGTGAAAATGGCAGAAGTCTGCAGCCTCAGCCTTCCCCCCTCCCCACTCCTGGCACATCTCACTGCTCAGAGTTTAAGAATCCTGCAGCCTCCTAGGCATTCTCAGGAGACCACAGGCTTCCATCCTTAGTTTCTTATTACAGGTAAATGCTTATGCTCATCATGGGATGCTGTATTGTACTGCATCACTGCTATTATTCCACTCATTAAGCTATGTGTGTACGCCTTAAGTGGCTCAGAACACATCTATAATATAGTGTAACACCAGTGTCAAAGTTTACGAACAATGAAAAATGAAAACTATGTAGCTTTATGACAAAGATAAGAGCAAAACAATGTCCGAATCCACTGCAAACCGGGGAAAGCCTGTCTCCTTTCTCTTGCCTGCAATGCCCCACGCTGCTGATGCTGCTGCTCCATTTTACTATGGATTCCTCCTGGTCTTTTCTGTAATGCTTTTATTTTTTTATCTTGTTCGTGCACAGTTTGGACAGTGATTTTAAAGGGTATTACAGATGTAGTGTAAATTGCTTAGCAATTTTATATTTATTCTCTAAATCAAACATGTTTAAATAAAGAGTATGTAGAAAATTAAAAATAAATAAAATAAAATGATGAAAAAATGATAAAATAAAATAAGGAAAGGAAAGGAAAGGAAAGGAAAGGGAACTCATGCAAGGACAGCTGAAAATTCGAAGGCTGTCCTTTCCCATGCTTCATGGAAGAACGGGGGTGTTGGTATGGGGCCAATCAGGGCACCTCCCCTCTCCCCTGCTCCTTGGTATACTCTACAGGTGCACTCTGGAAACAGTTTTTAGGATGCAAAAATTCTGTGCCTGCCTCTGGCTCATCATGTGTGCTCATCATGCCAGTTCTGCCCCCATTTGTGTGCAGCAAAATAGGCACTAATGTGATCTGACACATCATGTGGAATATTTCCTGCTTAAGGAACCCAGTGCAATATTAATGCTAATGTAAATAACATTGCACTAGCATAGACAGACAAGAATAGTAGTTGTTGGTATGCCAGGTTTCCTTAGTAAACACATTGCTCCAGCAAATACTACTTGTTGGTGTTGCACTATCAACCGCTAGTACTGGTGGTTGCTCTGGAACCACAACTTAAGTTAGATTAGTGGTTGTGCCACACTGGATACTGATACCTAACTACAGTGGTGGCACTCTGGAATAAAAGGATAGCATGATTCCAGCGCTAGGCCATATCCATAGCAATGACGCTGCTGCAGCATGCAACTTAAGCTAGTTGATTTCCACTGAGCACATTCCAGACAATTGGAACAGGCTCTGTGTATTCTGTAGGGTACCAGACTCATGTCACTCAACTAACAGCTTTGTAAAGCACTCATTAAAACCCAGAGCTCCAATCCAGCCAGTGTTACTCCTGATAAATAACTGAAGCCAATTGACTATGTTACTCTTGACCCGATCTTACTCTTTCTTGGGGAAATATTTGAAAAGAGTTTTGTTGGGCAGTGTAAAAGCCTGCCTTAGTCCTCACTGAAGAACCTAGGCTGCATAAGACTGCACTGAACTGGAGCAAACCTGGCTTAGCTTAGTGCCAGTTCATACCTCCTGCAAGAGCAGACACAGGTTGGCAACCAAATTCATCCCAAACAAGGAACTGCAGCTGGACTTGGCTGCCCAACAAGAACAACTCTACAACACACTTCCCAAAATTCATGGATATACATTGCATATTTAGATGTGCATTTCAACAAACAACTTAGTTGTACACCTGAAAAATATAACATGGGAGCTGGTCTCACTCATGGGTTACATTCCTGACCTGGTGCAGTGCTTTGTTATGAACTGAAACTTTGTGATGAACTGGGGATGAATGAGAAACACACAGAAGTCATACTTGTTTACACTCAAAAAAGGCACAAAATGCTTGTTGTGAAAGGGGCTTGATAAACTCCCCTCCCCTCGTCAAAGGAAGCTTTGAGCCCCCAACTGATGCATGAATGAGCCATCCCTCCCACACAGTTCCTGCATCTGCGGTGTGCAGATGTATTACTCACCCAAGTGGTGCATGAAACTTTATGCACACACACCAGGACATGTATTGCCTTCCTGGCACATGCACCAAGTGTGCAAATACTAGGTTAACAGTAGCCACCTTGAATGCCAATACATGTGTCAGCTGGCCTCAAAGCATGGCGCACCCCCCCACCGCGATACATGAAAGGTGTTTTTGTGACCATCCATAAATGTGTAACTTTTCTTGTTACAATTCCAAGAATCAGAACATTAGGGCGGAAACTTCTTCAATTTGTTCAGCTTCATCTGGCCAAAAGAGAGGTGAAAGTGAGATATTTTTATATCAGTTGAGGAAATCATAATTTTGGGGTGGCAGTACATGCCACCTTTTTTGAAATAGGATATTAATGCAAGTAATCCCTTCTGGGGGATCACTTTTTAAATATAATCTTTTGGCCTGCAGCAAATGGCTGGTCATTCACATACGGCGAGACCAGGATACAAGGAGCCCTTACCAATTCCAAATATAGGAATGCATCCACATCCCATGGCTACACAAACTGCTTTCAAAAATTGCACAAACAAGAAATGCATAACAACTAAAAAACACAATACATTCAGATTTTTCACATTTTGGAGAGTGGTATCACTGCTCTGATGAAATGTGTTTTGTACAGGAGTCACGAGTCATCTCTATAACATCAGTATAAAATTTTCTCTTGGTACAGGGCAATTGTGGAGGGACTTCCTCCCTCTTCATCCATTTCCAATCTTGTAAAATAGTTTATCTTTTCAAAGGGTGAAAAAAATCCAGTGTAATGATGTGTAAAAATTGTAAACCAAGTTACCCTTGGATCTGCTTGGTGCTTTTGCTATTTTAAAAGGAGTCCCTTTCTCAAAGATGATGAAGAAAGAAATGTACCCATGAATTCATTTGCTGGATCTCTCAGTGATCCTTCCCAGTGAGTGGTTATAATTTTTGCCATAAGCCGGTTATGTAAACTACCAAGTGGGGTATCTGGAGCAATGTTATATACAAGGCTGGGAATTATCCTCCATGACTGGGACTCATGATTTCATAGTACATATGGGAACAACAATGACCAGGATTACTGTACAGGCAGCTGCAGCAATCAATGCGGTTATTTTGCAAACTTTGGCTCTTCTGAATTCAGCTTCTTTGCGCTTCAGTAACGAATCGTAGCCTGGTGTATATATGTCCTCCATCCAGTATTCTAAATTGTTTGGATTTAAAGATTCTTGGGTCTGGAAAAATGTATAGAAAAGCAAAACCATTAAGTCTCTCTATCAGGTTTCCAGTTCTAAATAAGAAGCCATACAAATTTACATATTTAGGACAGAGTCCAGCCAAAGAAAAGCACTTCCAAGTTCTCTTGCTTTAGCTAGTCATATGCATTACTTCAAAATGTGTTACAGCAGAATATGATGTAGTTGCAGCAGAATAAATAGGTGAGATGACATGCATTGCCATTCCCCAACAAGATTTTTACCTCCAGAGTCCGTAATTATTTAAGCGCATCAGAGCTTCAAGACTTCTGCCAAACAGTTGCGCTTCCCATTCAAGAGGAAGCCAATGTGCACAACAGTTGCATATACTTAAGGCCAATGTATGTATAGGAGCAAATTTAGAAATCTTAACTGAACCTGACATAGAAATAGAAATGCATCACTGGCTGAGTGAGCTGGGTGCCTGTTCCATGTGCTGTTGATGGGCAACCTGTGGGCTGCCTTGGCTCCCCCTTCCTTAGGGTTCAGATGAAGACTGAAAAACCCTTCACGCTCAGGAGGGACCTCTGTTGGCTCCGCGAATACAGGGCGCTCCTCTACAAAGCAGGACACCCGATCATCCTAGCCCAGATGGCTAGAGAGGGAATAAGCACTTCAGTTCAGTTTGGAGCAGAATTTATCAAAATTTGCAAAGTGGTCCATATTCAGGTCAAAAAGAACTTGGGATTGAAAAAAAAACGAATGTGGGAAAACTGATTCTCTTCAGACCCAAGGTTTCAGGTGCTTTGTACTTAAAAGTTTGGGTCTGAATCCCTGTGCATTCAAGCATGTTGATGCTGAATTAGAATTCCCACTGCTCTCCTTCTCCTCCATGCTTCCCGTTTTTAATTATCCATATGGCAAAGAGGTACATCATGTTTTTGTCCTTGCTGGGAAAAGCTGTAATTATTGGACTAATGAAGATCAATGGAATTTCAGTTAGTTCTGATCAAAATTTATCAAAATTTGCCATGTTCTTGGAAGAAAAATAATTTGAGATTTTAGAAATATGAATGCAGGAGAAAGCAAGACTGAGATATTTGCCCATCCCCATGAATTATACTGCATAAATAAGGGTTGCTCACAGGGAAATTAGAACATCATGGAAAGGAGCATGATGCAATTAAGGCTAAGCTGGCCTTTATCTCCCTGAAAAATTCTCTGAAATGTTTCTCCCTACTATACTGCTCACAAAGAGGATAGTAAAGTTGGGAAGGAGGATTTCCTAATTGATTAATTTAGGCATGGAAATTGGATAGAGAAGAATCTGGTCACCATTCACATTCCGTGCAATACATACTTCTAGCAGTAACGTGAAAAGTTCTAGAGAAGCTCAGATTAATAAATCAGAAGGGATGTCTATTTTCAGGTTTATCAAAGGGCCACTAGGATGGTGGCTGGTTTGCAGGGAAAGCCATATGAGGAGAGACTGAGGGAGCTGGATCTTTTCAGCCTGGAAAAGAGGAGACTCTGAGGTGACCTGTTGGCAACATTTAGGTATGCGAGGGGGTGTCACACAGAGGTGGGTCATGACCATTTTTCCCCTGTAGTGGAGGGCAGGAAGAGTTCCAATGGAGCAACGCTCAGGGAACCAAGATTTGAGGTGTATGCCAGGAAGTACTGCCTGACAGTTAGGACCCCTGGAGTATGGGATGGGCTTCCACAGGAGGTGGTTGAAGCCCCAACAGTGAGGGTGTTCGAGGATAGGCTGGACATGCACATGGTAGGCATGTCATGAGTGGAGTGGCTGGAACTGGGGGTCCAGGAGGCCCCTTCGCCTCACTCTGTTTCTATGTTCCTATCAAATCTGAATGTGTGGGAACCCCCCTCCCCCAAAACTGTACATATGCAGTTTGCAGCTCCACGATGGAAGAAAAGCAGGAGGGTATCAGTAACAACAAGTGCATAATGTAGATTATGAGGACAAGGCTTTGTGTGTCTTAGAAATATGCATTTTAGGGCACAGTGAGAACATTTCGTTTAGCCCAATTCAATTCTGAAGACACTCTCAGGGGGCTAATCCAGTGGTAGATGGGGACAAAATACCAAAAGAAAATAAAAAATAAAAACCGTAAGTTCTATAATGCTATATGGGTCTACTCAGAAGTACATTCTACGGAATTCATGAGACTTACTCCGGATCAGTGTGCATAGGATTGCAGACTAAATATATCATTGTTAACATGACTGTCACCTTCCCTGCTTAATGCGTCAGCTCCCGTCCTTCACCTCAATTGATCACTTTCAGGGACAGACGGCCAGTCATGGAAAACAAGGCAATTCACCTGAAGATCCAAGGAGGCCAGCTTCCCTTTCTCGCCCGAGTTCCTGGTGTACTCCTCAATGGTCCAGGATGGTTGCACCCGCTTCACTTCTGCCAGTTCCGTCAGTCGCATGTCTGTGTAGAGAGGGTTGGTCTTCATGTGTGACTTGAGCGATGCGGGATAAGGATGGGGACTAAAGACTTGCTCAATCAAGAAAGTGTCTTTGGATGGCTTGGAGTGTCTGTGCGGCTGTGGAATTTCGTATTGCCTGTCTGCCTGAAATGAATGTCAGAAGTTCAGAGAAGGAAAGGGGTGCCCTTGTATTTAATAACTCACTGAGTCTCACGGGGAACCAGGAACCCCATGCAGGTGAGTGAGCCCAGTGGGCAGAGGACACAGAAGCCCCTTTCTCCATCATCAGCATAGAAATGGAGTTGGACTGGCAGAGGATGGGTGTCCTTCCCTCATCTACCAGTCCTCTTGGTAGAAGACATTTTTAATGGCCTGCAAAGAACCTAGTGACCTCTTCCCTCCCGCAAAGCGGGTGCTTCTTTTGCTTTGAACCAGCACTGAAATGCAATCTATAGAGGACACCTCATCAGCTAGCAAAATGTTGCAGGCTAGTAACTTTTATGGGCTTTTTTACAAAGCTGGTTGTGGGTTTTCTTGGACAGGTTCAACACAATCCTGTAACCTGCATCCCTTTAACAATGGCATTTGTTTACAACTTCTCTATAGTAATTTATACCCCATTAAAAATTCCTAAGATAGCATACATAACAAAAACAATTACTGCAGTTCTAAACGTGACAGCCTGGATAGACACATGCCACCATGTAAAAGCCCATGGTGTAGTGCCATATACAAATATCAGCAGAAAATGATTGACTGGAAACATTGCAAGTGTATGGATTTTAATTCTTTGTAACATGCTTGAAAGCAATAAAAAGAAAGGAGTTAGTAGACCTTCTCTGGAAGGGAACTCTACAGTACTGGAGCCATCACTTGAAAGGATACTCTTCTAACAAGATGAAATTTTCTGATAATGGACTGGGCCCTTCAAGCTGATCTCAAGATTCAGGCAAGTCCCTGTGTGCACAGGCAGTTTTTCAAGTAACTTTGCTCTAAGCTGTTCTGAGCTATAATGGCTAAAACTACTATTTCACACTGAACTTGGAACGCATTGGTAACCAATATAATGGGAAAACAGTCGGTGTCCTGTAAGCTGACCACGGTGCTCCTAACAGCAATCTGGTATCTGCATTTCAAACAGCTTTTAAACTTGAAAGGCAGAACCACAGTAAACATAATATAATTTGTCTGACGACGTGGCCTGAAGTGAAGACATGGATTGTAATAGTTGTTGATGCCACAAAGGTAGCGATGGCTTTCTGAAGCTGTGATATTTGCCTATGGCTCCAACACCTCAAATTTTCTTTCTTCCATCCCCAAAAAAGAAAAAAAAGTAAGATGTACAACAACATTTGTTTGTTTAGGATTGGTAGGTTTTAATGTTTGTAAACCACCCAGAGAACTGGACACGGAACCACTGATTGGTTCAAAATTGAGAAAGGAGTTCGGCAAGGCTGTATACTGTTGCCCTGCCTATTTAACTTGTACGCAGAGCACATCATGAGGAAGGCGGGGCTAGATGAATCACTGCTTGGAATTAAGATTGCTGGGAGAAATATCAACAACCTCAGATATGCAGATGATACCACTCTCATAGCAGAAAGTGAAGAGGAACTAAAGAGCCTCTTGATGCGGGTGAAGGAGAAGAGTACAAAAGTTTGCTTGAAACTCAGCATTAAGAAAACTAAGATCATGGCATCTGGTCCTCTCACTTCCTGGCAAATGGATGGGGAAGAAATGGTGGTAGTGACAGATTTTATTTTCCTGGGCTCCAAGATCACTGCAGATGGGGACTGCAGCCAAGATATTAAAAGATGCTTGCTCTTGGGGAGGAAAGCTATGGCAAATCTAGACAGCATACTAAAAAGCAGAGACATCACCCTGCCAACAAAAGTGCGTATAGTCAAGGCTATGGTTTTCCCAGTTGCAATGTATGGCTGTGAAAGCTGGACCATAAGGAAGGCTGAGCGCCAAAGGATTGAGGCCTTTGAATTGTGGTGCTGGAGGTGACTCCTGCGAGTCCCTTGGACCACAAGGCGATCAAACCAGTCAGTCCTAGCGGAGATCAACCCTGACTGCTCTTTAGAAGGCCAGATACTGAAGATGAAACTCAAATACTTTGGCCACCTATTGAGAAGGAAGGACTCCCTGGAGAAGAGCCTAATGCTGTGAACAATAGATGGCAAAAGAAGAAGGGGACGGCAAAGGATGAGGTGGTTGTCTGGAGTCACTGAAGCAGTTGGCATGAGCTTGAGTGGACTCCGGGGGATGGTGGAGGACAGGAAGGCCTGGAGGAATGTTGTCCATGGGGTCGTGATGGGTCGGACACGACTTCGCGACTAACAACAACAACAGCAAACCACCCAGAGAGCCCTCTGGGTTACTAGGGTGGTATATAAATGAAAATAATAAATAAATAAACAATAAACATGTTGTAGTATATCCTTGCCTTGTAACTGAAGTCCTCCTGGTTAGAGTTCCAGACAGCCTAGTGTGCTGAGTCCTATTCCAGAGCATTCCATTCCATCTCACCCAATTCTGTTATTATTTTTCCCTCCCATTCAACAGACAGCATTCTGTGGCTATGTATCCCCCAGCATGTGAGGCCAGCCTTAGAGGGAGTGATGGGCTATCCTTCATTGAATTTATTTCTCAGATTTTTGTCCAATCAAACACGAGAGAGAACTTAGATGTGACAATAGCATTTAGAAAAATTTATGAAAACTTGCTAACAGCAATGAAGCAAGAAAAACCCAATCCTCTTTCAGTACTTAAAACATTCATAGCCCATGGCCAGCAAAAATTTGGCAGAATAGATCAGCCAGTTCATTTCTTGGATTGCTCTTTGTTAAGTGGGAGGAGGGGGTATCAAAGAAGCAGTGAATAATACCTCTTCCAAGAAACAAATCACAACATTTTCCTCTTTCTCAGTCAAGGTCAACTTCCAAGACATGCTTTATAATACAAGGTTTATTCAATGTCATTTGCACAGTGAAAGTATCTTTATGGATCCATGTTGGTACATTGGATCAAAACACATTTGTTTTATTCCCAGTGTGGATTATGGGTACTCTGTTGAGGATGGAGGGTGGAAGAAGCATAGAGGCAAAGATCACTTCCATAGTTCTTCCAACCTACAAGGCTTTTTGGCGATTCATAGAGGAAGAAACCATTTTAATTGGTAGGACAGAGAATTATTGTTACACTTGCTTGTTTTTGAAGCAACTTGAGCATATGGCCATGACTGAAATATTCCTTCATCTGGTGCCCTCCCGATGTTTTGTACTTCCATTCCCATCAGCCCCAGCCAGCATGGTCAATGATAGGGAATGTAGGGGGGAGAGTTTTAATTTTAAAAAATCTGCATGGGACAAAGTTAGGGAAGGCTGTAATAGGGAATGAAAATATTACAGACAAACTTTGATTCAAACAAGAAGTGGCTACTCAAGTTGTATTAGACCCCCCTACACACACTCATAATCCATGAGAGACAAGGCTGTTTTAATAGGCATGCTTGTTAAAACAGCAATTCGTCATTTAAAAACTGAGAAGTACTTCTGGAGCAATTCTATGTTCTCTGGTGACTGTGTGGCCACGTATCCTACTTTAGAGAAGACAACCCTCTGTTTCAAAGCAGACTTACTTGATGAGCTGAGGTCCAAGTTTGGATTAAAGATAAAGAATGATGAGAAAGCAGAGCAGGAGCCTTGGACACGCCTAGCCACACCTAGCAGCTGCACAGCAGGCTAAATTTGGTTCCAGTCTCCTGCATTTTGCATATTGTGTAATCATCACCTTCATCACATTTACATATATCCTGCCTTTTTACTTTTTGCAAGGAAGCCAAGGCAACTCACATTGTCCTCCTCTCTCCTTTATCCTCACAACAATCCTATGAGGTAGGTACACATGAACATCTCAGGGCCATCTGGATGCAGCAGAAGTGCTGTTCTGCTGGCTGAGAGGCAATTCCCCTATCACACTGGCATATCTGCACAGGAAGTCACCTGAACACAACCACTACAGTTGTCCCACAGGCTCTGTTCTGCTGCTGGAAAAGAGGCAAAGCAGAGCCTTCCAGGGGTATAGCCACACACCTGCAGGATCATAAGCCCCTGCTTACTTCCCTGACACATCCTCATGCAGGCTCCAGCCTGGAACTAGACCAGCTAAAAGCTTCCCACTATTACTGAGAGAAGAAAAAAAAAGAAGAAGCTGATGTGGGGGCAGAAAGAGAAAGCCCCCACCTAGGGAGGTATGAGAATGTTGGTTTTGCGTACAAAACATGTGAGCATGTCCATTCAAAGCCCCAAACGCACATGCAAACAAATCCCCAAATTTCCTAAGTTGTGGACATTTCCTTAGAAAACTGAATCAGCTCTGATTTAGTCTATGTGATAAAATGTGTGTGTAATTTTGGGGGATATGCTCATATCCCCATTTAGTCACTGCTTGATCTGCCTGTGTTTCCTGTTCATGTGAATTGCAAGCAGTGACTGTGCATGCAAAAGGGAATTCTGAATGAGATGAACGGCAAGATGATCGGGGGTCAGACTAGATGGCCCAGGAGACCCCTTCTGACTCACTCTGTTTCTGTTTCTATGATGTAAAGAGGATCCTAGTGATTTCGAGCATCACTCCTTTGCCTGTCTATGTCCCCACTTCCTGCCCAGGGTGCAGCAAGCCAATGTGCTTGGATTTGCTGATAGCTCTCCCACCAGGTCTCTCCCTTCTCCTTACCCCCAGCATCGTATTGCTCTTCCCATTCTGCACCTGTGTTTGTACCACTACATACAGGGACTGCTTACCATTTGGCAAGCTGCCCTATCAGGAAATTAACACGTAAGCCCTGAATTAGAGCGGATGGTAGAAGGCCACGTTGTGCAAATGTCATCCATTTGAGGGGGAGTGGGGATGTCAGAGTCTTGACCAACGTGACCTGTGCATTTATTTAGAATGCAGCCACTCTTTATACCCTGAATATTGCTGGGTGGAGGTGTGGGGAAATAGATGGGCTAAAAATCTGGCTCTACTTCATTAAATTGATAATTGTTTTGCAAGAGGCCAGCCGTCCCCAGCTGGGTGCTCTCTAGATCTTTGAGACTTCAGCTCCTAACAGCCCCTGCCAGGAGGGCCAGTGGTTAGAAATGTTGAGAGAGTAAAAAGAACACTGGGATAAAACAAGGTGGGGAGGGCTGCAGTGGGCAGACACTGAGACTCTGCAAGCCTTCTTGCTTGCCCTCAGATCTTTTTTTGCGCAGTCACATTCAAAACTAGAATCAACTGATCTGAAAATTGAAAAATTACCTCTTTGGATTTTCTGTGCCATTCTTTGTTTTCACCCCCACCTCGGTCTTTCATCTCTTCCTCTGTGATGCCAGCTTGGTTGGTGTACGTGACCGCTCGCCAGTCTCTGGGAGAGTTAGAAATGCTCGCTATCTTGGATTCTGTGGCACTATTCTCCTCTGTCAATGACCTCGAAGACCTCCTCGTGAATAAGCTTTTTTTTAAGGCTTTGACCCGAAGGCTTTCACTGTTACTGCCACTGGCATCTGAACAGCACCAGTCTGGATTATTCTCCAGTTTGCCACCGTGTGAAGAATTGTGGCATGAAAAGAGCCTAGGGGAGGTGCTTTCTTCTGATTGAACCTCACTTGTTAAGGAATTAAGATCTAGCTGGACACTCACTTTCTCTGGCTGCTGAATCTTTTGATCCAGCTTATTTAGCTTTCCCAGTACCTGGGATATTTCCTCCCTGACACTCGAAAGGGACTCTAGTTTCTTCTCAATTTCTCCAATCCTTAGGACTAGTTTGCAGACACTGGTTTTCAGTTCATCATCCGTGCTGCTGATCTCCAAGCGAGACGCTTTGTCAAGTTTGTTACTGGTGTTCTCATTGGAAATTTTTGCCAGGTGGTGCTCAGGGGAACTTTCACAGTCTGATTTATGTATCTGAGAAAGTGACCCAGTGCTGTTGTAGCAAGAGGATTGCATTACTCCTGTAGATCCACAGATACTCGTGTCATCCAGAAACCTGAATATATCACTGATATCATCGCTTACAATTTCAGAGTCATCATCTGATTGCTTAAGAGAATGCCGCTCACCATATTTATTCTGGTTTGAGTGACCCACCTCTTTGCCCTTTTTGTGCTCCAACCCCTGTTGGTCCGTCTGTGTCCCAACATTGTTGGTTTTCTCCATACTTAGAAGCTGAACAGAAGTGCAGTTGATACTTTTGTCTTTAAATTTTTTGATGGGCTCGTGCTTTTCTACTTCTAAAATGGAGGGGATATCTTTGGGTTTGTGCCCATTCGGTTTCACAGCATAGCTGGACTGCATCATCGGTTGCTGATCCTTTGGGTTGTGATAAGGTTGAAGCCTCTCAGCAGCTGGGAAATTGGAAGGCTGGCTGTTTGAACCCTGGTATCGAGGCTTCTCTTCTGACTGTTTCCTGTTAAAAAAGGATCTTTCAAAATCAGGTACTTCTTCAGTATTCAAACTCCAGCTCTTAACTGGCCATGGAGTTTGTTTGCTTGGCTTTCCTAACCATCGTTTCGAATCTTGTGGTCCAAGAATGGTTGTTGGGCCAAAGTAAGTAGAAGCCTGGAGATCGTCTAAGCTTTCATGCTTGACCCGCCTTTTATCCGGTAAGGGGGAATAAATGGGATTCAAGTATTGGCTGCTGTATGGCATTTCGAAACTGTGATTGAAGAAAGCTTGCTTGGGAGTCTCCTTCCTGTTTGTGGGCTCGGCAAGCTCGTCGTCTGCTTTGCTAGTGGGAGAGATCAAGTTGGGTGAGATGGTGATGAGATTGTGGAAGTCTTCCTTGAATATGTTGCGCTTCTGCACACATGACTGCATCACAAAGGGCTCCTCAGTTGCAGTGAATGTCTCCTTAATGCTGGCAGTAATGGGTAAGGAGTCCTGGTCCGACATCGATTCAGTGTCGATGTTCATGGGGAAATAGGTGCTCTGCATTTCACACGGAGGGGAGCTGGTGATGGCATATGATGCCAGCGCCTGCAAGCGATCGAGAGAAGCCACTCGACCTTTCATTTCTTTACTGACCCCAAGCAAAAAGTTTGGCTCAGAAGCAGGAACAAACTGAGGACAGTCTTTGCCGTCTCCCTTCCTGCATTTGGATGACCTCCTGCTTGAGTACCCTTGGCTAAAGTCCCCATCTCGCAATTCACAGTTGATCACACAGTCCACCATACTGCACACTTCTGTGTCAGATCGGCAGGACTCCAGCGACTCCTTCTTCCTCACCTTCTCACGTCCCACGGGAAGCTTTTCCTTGGCTACACCCCCATTCATCTGGATGAGGTTAAATATTGTCACAATGTCTGCCGCAACCATGATCTTCTTTGACTGCTGGTTGTTTACAGTGCACCTCATTTTGTCTTTGAACAAGGTTGCAGGGAAATTGGGATCCAGGCAGGCAGTGTAGAAGAGCACGCTCCGTAACTTGGCCAGCTGGGACAAATCAAACCGGGCACATAACGATTTGCAAAGATCCTGGTAGGAGACCCTGTTTTGCTTGGTGTCCAGCTCCTCCAAAATGTTCACCAGGAACAGAGAGGAGTCCTGACTGGTCTCCATGACGGACAGATATCAAGCTTTATAGGTTATCCCAAATGTTGTCTTCCAATTCTAAATTGACACAGAATAGAAAAACAAAACAAAGCACACATATTTATCTGAAGACACTTAAGGAAGAATGGCACATTTTAAAAATCATTTCTCACTCTCTTCATAGCAAGTGTGCAGAAACTCTTCTGGCCAACATCCAAATTCAGTTGGGACAAGCTGCCGGGGAGGCTCATTCTAGTGTCAGCTACAGCCAAAGCAGAAGCACAGTGCCAGAATTACCAGCACATTTTACCTTGAAGCTCTTACAGCTGGTGACTAAGCCTTAGGAGAGGCATTTCAACCTTTTAGAATGAGGGATAAAGTGCAAAAAACTGGGACACTTTCAAATGACGGATGCTTGCAAGAAAGGAGGTGGGGCCATCTGGGGATTCAAGAGGGCTGGACTGAGATCACAGGATGGGATGGCCAAATATGCCCTCCAGACTGGAGGTTATGTACCCCCGTCTACTGTTTCTGTCTGGGTGCATGCTGTCCCTTTTTTGCACTAAAATAGCATTCCCCAACTCGGTATCCTCTAAATGTTAAGGATTACAACTTCCAGAATCCCCGAGCCAGCACAGTAGATCTGGCTGGGCAATTCTGGAACTTATACCCAACCCATTTTGAAGCCATCAGGTTGAAGAAAGCTGTGCTAAGAGTATGGCAGGCAAATCAGGAGAGATTTTTTTTTTTTTTGGCCTTTCTTTTTCAAATCTATTTGCAGGACTGACAGGGGCTATTCAGTTGTGGCAGCACAGTGCAGAACATCAGGTTAAATCTAGACTGGGTCATGCTTAGAGCAGACCCACTGAAATCAATGGGACTTGACTTAGTTATGATTCCATTGTGTTTGCTCTAAACATCATTAAGTCTGCATCCAACCCATAGCATGGAAGAGACATAGCTAGGGGAACAGGACACAGAAGAGTAATGAGCAAGAGAAGAGGGCTGGCAAGACAAAAAAGGAATAATCTCCTTACGCCCCAGCCTTGACAATCTCACTACGCACCTGTGAAAAGTTACTGTCCATTTCCCAGGTATTAAATATGCCTATAACATTTTTGCCTCTGATAATCCTTATTGCATTCATCCATCTTCACAGCAGCCATGAAAATGGACCACTCTGGAATGGTCCAGAATGTTAGGAACTGGGTACTTCAGAGTGTACATGAAATTCTAAATTACACAACTAGCCCAGTTCTGCTTGGTTGATCCCTCTGAACTATCCAAGATGGGTTTGGACTTGCTGATAGCAAAGAAGCTGGTAATAGCTCAATACCGAAGGGAAAATTACCTTGAGTGGAAGCCTGATTGTCAGCACAGATCATGGGACATGCTTCTTAGGGCTGTGCTGAATATCCATTGACAAAAACATTCAAGGTCAAAAGCAGGGTTTTAGTGAGTGGGAAAAATTTGATTATCTATTTCACATGCTATTGAATACGTCTTTGCAGCACTGCGTCTGTCTTCCACTTTGGCACCAGTTTAATAAACAGGAGAAGGGGGGCCTCCTCTTGTTCAGGGATCATGTACATAATGCTGACAGTTAGAACTAGCCATGTAAGAACACCACAAAGTCAATCCAGAGAGATGGTAGGAAGGCTTCCTGATCACACCCACCAGATTTGGCTAAAGATGATGCCCCAAAGCTGCTGAATAGATAAATATTCCAGTCTTGCTTGATGGGGTGTTCTGAGGAGGAAGGGCTTTGTTTTTATTTTCAAGTTGTCCCCCCGCCCCCCACCAAGCTATTCTCAGGCATAATTAAGCTTTTAGCAGAGAACCAGTTTTGAGAATTAGAAACCTGAAACCACATTATTTCTCTGCCTCATTTATTGCCTGCCCATCCTCTCAAGAGCTCAGAACCATTTATGTGTGGTCCCTAGAGGGGTTTCCCTCCCCTGCAGCATATGAAACCAATCCCTCCTTCTCTCTACCAGCGAAAGTTCTCAATTGGTATAGTGGAGCCAGGGCATACAGGCTCATAGCTCCAGGACTTTTTGATTATCAGGGGATACAATAATTTGCCTCTGGCCTATGACTTCCTTGTTCCTTCTAACCTTAACTGCAATTCTCACAATAACTGGGAAAAATTGATTTTCCCTGCAAACACAGAATTGCTTGCAGTGATGTGGTTTGTGTTTCTGCATATCTATTTATACACTTAGTCATTCAAACGTGGAGCGAAATGGCTCTACAAAGTTGCCTGCATATTGGACCCTCCTTGGGGCAGGGATTCAGGGCCTGTCCTAAGGAGTGCTTGCCCTCCTGAATTTCGTAGGGTGCCCCTGATGTCCATCCATCTGATGTTTGCTCAGACCACCATAAGGCCAAGGGCAGCCAGTGCCTTCCCTTGGGACAATGTACCATGATGAAGTTCAAGGAGGAAGACCTTCTCCATGAAAGGCAGCCTGCAACCCATTAGCCCTGCCCAGAGCAAATCCAGTTTGCCACTGCTCCATGTCTCTCCAACCCCACTGCGGACATGTCCATGCACATTCACAAAATGCTAGAAAAATGCATACCTGATCACACACGATTGCAAGATTCATTCTGCATACGAGCGTGGGCAAGTACCAACAAAGCAATTTGATGTAATCTTACATCACACAAAGATGTTATTTTGCTCTGTTCTGGGGGATTTGTTAATCCACATGGAAAGACTGGTGAGGGGGCAGGTCGTGATGCAAACTGTACTGAAGCAACTGATCACCTCATCCTAGTGCACAAGACACTGTTCCAAAATTAATGATAGCAATTCTCTTAGTTAAAGTCAGAATTTAGCAGAGCAGGCAAAGCAGAAGAAGAATCGGAGCTCTAGAATCTTTCCAATGGGAAGTACGGGGGCATGGTCCGGATTCATGTGTGCCCTTGCTCAGTGTGCCCTTGCTGAGCTATGCTTTCCATATCCAATCATGAAGTTACAGGCTGCTGCCCCTCAGCATTGGCTGATAGGAATACTAACCTGGAAGAACACACTACCATGAAACTGCTATACTAGACTGCCAGACACAGGACACAGAGATGCAGATATCTGACGCAAAGGATCCAAGCTATAAAGCTGAGAAGGTTAAGGGTGAATGTTCAGCTGATCCCCCAAAATACCATGCATGTATAAGATGCAGCTTTTGCATTGGAGCAATACAAATTTGAAAACAACAAGAAGAGCAGCAGGGAATTACACACCTCCCCATTCTGCCTGCTGAAAAGCTGTGTTAGTGCAAAAGCTTGCAAAATCTTACATCCAAAGAAGTTCCTCTGACAAATGAACTGGCATTATCTCCTCTATCCTACCTTCAGAATAAAGCACCACACATGGGTTTTCCATTAGCAATACAAAAAAATGCTTTGTCTTGGAAGAGAGCTCTGCCTCCCCTCGATTCAATTTTTCCTAACAGGAACGAGGCAGTTACACGGACGTGGAAACACACAGAAAGCGTCTCACCTTACAGTTGGCCAGAGTGTCCAGGCCCCAGTCTTTTGGAGAGCTGCAGGCTTACCACAGATCAATCCTTGCATGACCTCCACTAAATCATGTTTACCCCATATTCCCTGGCGGAAACAGCCTTAGTCCAGCGTTTCAGCTGTTGAAGGAGCAGCAGCATCCATCGCTCTATTTTACCTTTCCAGGAATACCATCTCTCGGGCATCATGATTGTTTTGCCTTCCCAGTTACTCTCTGAGTGGAGTGGGGGCAGGGGGTTAAAAGAGGAAATGTCAAATTCTCAAAAATTCCCCTCTGGAACTGTGTAGAGCATACTAATTAAGCAAAATGTGGCCAATCTGCACCATTTATTCCAATTACAGAACCAGGGATTTAGTATAAGAATGCACGGTTTTATTGCAGAACGTTGGGGCAAGGACACCATCACAGACAGAGGAGTAAAGAGCAGGACAGGCATAATATAGCAGTATCTCATTCATGGTATTAATTTTAGCTAAGCAGGCTAGGGTGGTCCATGCCTGTAACCATGCAGGGCAATCCAGTGCACATCTCTTCAGAAATTAGTGCCATGGAGGTCTGAGGAGACATGTATAAGATTGCACTACTAGAGACAGAGTTGAAAGTCATACCTCTAAAGATGGCAGCCCCTCTCTCTCTCTCTCTCTCTCTCTCTCTCTCTCTCTCTCTCTCTCTCTCACACACACACACACACACACACACAGAGAGAGAGAGAGAGAGAGAGAGAGAGAGAGAGAGAGAGAGAGAGAGAGCGCACTTTAGTTTCGTACTGCATAATATGCATCCATCATTCTTCAGAGGAAAGAGGATTGCTGGCGTTTTGTCCATCGCCCTTCCAGGATCTCCTATTTTAGACATCTTTGTAGTCTTTCTACGAAAATAGTTCAGTCCACCTCCTTGGATTTCTTTGGCCCCATTCATGATCATGCAGAATCACAGAAACGAGTGGGATTTCAGGGGGGAGGTTGCTCAGCGTCAGTCCCAGTGTTCTACAAGTTCAAGGGAGTGGCAGTGTTTGTTTGCTGTTCTTGAGGCAACAGACAATGACTGGACCCATATAGCGTGATAACTCATATTCATAAACTGTTAATAAATCATGGAAATGTGGAATATCATGTTTTCATTGTTTCTTTTCCCAGTGAAAAGAAATACATTTTGGTGTTGAAAGGAATGCTTCAGGTTCCACGATCACGGCAACTGAGGAGACAGTACACACACCTCATGAGGAGGTCCTTCAGAAATGCTCTAGTGAGCTTTGTCTGGAAGGCTTTAAACTGAGGGGCAGGGAGTCAGGTTCCCCCCAAAACTGTTCTGATTGGACAAGTGAGGGGAGGGGATCAGGGTTTCAAGGCCAGGGCACTGGAGGTACTTCAGGGGCTGGCGGGACTTCTATGAAGAGGATTCTGGTACCAAGGAAGAAGGGAGGAAGGAGGAGGCCAGGGGACCCAAAGGTAGCAGGTCATGGGAAGGAACTGAGATGCATGTATACTAACGCTAGGAGCATGGG